GTAGTCCTCGCGAGCGTGGGCGCCACGGGACTCCGTGTGCGGTTGGCGGCGGAAACGGCGGTTTGCGAGCTACGGTAGAATGTCAGTCAAAATATTCGAGGTCTTTTCAAGAGCAGGAGATACGTACGCGCAAGTCAGAAGGTTCCTCAGCTCGAGAGTCTCAACAAGGTCGGAGTTCCAGATCATGCTGCGGTCCTTGATGCCGACCTCGGGGAACTGGGTGTCAATGTCCTTCATGAGGCGGACACCCTCGTCCAAGCTCTCCTGTGTCCTGAAGACGGAGACCTCGGTCTGCATCGCCTTCTGCATGGAGAGACGGATCTGGGCGGTTGTCCTGGGACCGTCCGAGTTGCGGACCTGGTCGAGGACCTCGATGTGCTCGGCACCAGCATCAGCCTCCATGGGCTTGAGCTTGGTGCCGGGTGTGAAGTTGTCGCGGATGGTGTGGGAGACGGCACGGCCGAAGACGACGAGATCGAGGAGCGAGTTGGCACCGAGACGGTTGGCGCCGTGGACCGACACACAGGCAGCTTCACCGCAGGCGAATAGGCCAGGGACGACCTTGTCGTTGCCGGCCTCGTCAACGGTGAGGACCTCACCAGTGTACTTGGTAGGGATACCGCCCATGTTGTAGTGGACGGTGGGCAGGACGGGGATGGGCTGCTTGGTGACGTCGACACCGGCGAAGATACCGGCTGTCTCGGAAATACCAGGCAGACGCTCGTGCAGGACGTCGGCGGGCAAGTGGCTGAGCTGCAGGAAAATGTGGTCCTTGTCAGCGCCAACACCACGACCGTCACGGATCTCCATGGTCATGGAGCGAGACACGACGTCGCGCGAGGCAAGATCCTTGGCGGTGGGAGCATAACGCTCCATGAAGCGCTCGCCCTCCGAGTTGAGCAGGTAACCACCCTCACCACGAGCACCCTCGGTGATCAGGCAGCCGGCTCCGTAGATACCGGTAGGGTGGAACTGGACGAACTCGAGATCCTGGTTGGGAAGACCGGCACGAGCAACCATGGCCATACCGTCACCGGTACAGGTGTGGGCGGAAGTGCAGCTGAAGTAGGCGCGGCCGTATCCACCGGTGGCGAGGACGGTGTGGTTGGCGAGGAAGCGGTGCAGAGTGCCGTCCTCCTGGTTGTAAGCCAGGACACCGCGGCACTCACCGTCCTGCATGATCAGGTCGAGGGCGAAGTACTCGATGAAGTAGTTCGTGTTGTGGCGGAGAGACTGGCCGTACAGGGTGTGCAGAAGGGCGTGGCCAGTTCGGTCAGCGGCGGCGCAGCAACGGTAGGCCTGGCCACCCTTGCCGAAGTTCTGGGACTGACCACCGAAAGCACGCTGGTAGCTGCAAATTGTCAGCGCTTCTCGTCGTCTTGCGCCTCTTGTCGGGCGTCTTTTTCTGTTTCACTCACATCTTGCCATCCTCGGTACGCGAGAAGGGGCAGCCGTAGTTCTCAAGCTCGACAATGGACGCGGGAGCTTCCCTCGTCATGTAGTGAATGGCGTCCTGGTCACCGAGCCAATCGGAGCCCTTGACGGTGTCGTACATGTGCCATCTCCAGTCGTCCTCGTGCATATTGCCGAGGGCGGCGTTGATGCCGCCCTGGGCGGCGACGGTGTGGCTTCGGGTAGGGAACAGCTTGGAGATACAGGCTGTGTTGAAGCCAGCCTCGGCGAGACCGAAAGCGGCGCGCAGACCGGAACCACCGGCGCCAACAACGATGGCATCGTACTCGTGGTCCTGGGGAAGAAGAGTCAGCTGTCGTGTCGATGCCGG